GGGGGGGGGGCAGGTGTCCCCATAGTTGGGATTGGGGCCGGGCCCTCAGACCTCTCCTCTGGGAGGAACAGATTGATTATGGCATGGCTGGAGGTTAGCTATTGTTCAAGCTAAGTGTTTTCCAGTTTTAAGTTGTATAATGTAATACATGTAGTAGCCACTCCATAATCACTGAGAAAAAATGATTCCGAAAATAAAATGCAAAAAGGATAAGCAACAGAAAGCAGCCAAACAGAAACAAAACAAAGATCTGAATTTTAAAAAATTAGAAATACTCACAAAACAAATAGCAAAATGAGTGCAACAGACACTTCAGTTTTAGTAATAATAACTCTAAAAGTAAATGGTAAAAATGCTCCATTCAAAAATAGAGTGTGGCGGCAGTGGATGAAAAATACATGATTCATTCTTTTGCTATCTAGAAGAAACACACCTTACACAGAAGATCACAGATTGAAAATAAAGGGAGAAAAATAGTCCATGCAATCAGTGAAAACCGGCACCTCTGGCCATGCCAACGTTAGATAGAATAGACTTTAAATCAAAATCTATTAAAATAGATAAAGATATACATTGCACAATAAGAAAAGGTCAACCCAGCAAGAATATATACAATTGTAACCCAAGTGAACTTAAAGGATATATACAGAACTCTTCACACAGTATCAGAACAAAACATATTCTACTCCAGTACTCATGGATCATTTTCCAGAATAGATTACATGCTAAGACAAAAACTGTCAACAAATTTTTAAAGAATGAAGTAAAACAAAAGCATCTTCTCTGACCATAACAGCATGCAGTTACAAATCAACAGAAAAATATATCTATAAACAAATGCAGAAAGGTGCATATTATACTACTTTATTCAGCTATAGGGGAAAAACCAAAATTCCTAGAATTAAAATACAACATATCAAACCCTCTGAGGAATAGTAAAAGTAGTCTTCAGAGGAAAATTCAAAGCAATAAAAGTCTACATTTAAAAAGGAGGTTCAAAAATCACTAACTTAAACCAACAAGTTGAACAACTAGAAAAATACAAAGTAAGCCAAAAGCTCCCCTAAAAAGGGAATAATGAAGATGGGGCAGCATCAACGCAACGCGCAAGGAGGCAGAACCAACAAAACCAGGTGGTGGTTTTTTGAAAGGATCAAAATAAGACAAGGCACTGGGTGGATTGACATAAAGAAACAGACAAAAGAGGTAAATTAAGAAGTTAAATTAGTCAGACTGCAACTAACCTAACAAAGTTAAAAAAGATAAATGATTACTGAAAAACTGTTCTCCAACAAAGCTTAAAACCTAGAAAAATGGCCAAAATACCCAAACTCAGAGTGGTAGAAAATTTTAAATTTCACTCTATTTAAAGTCTTCCAATTCATAAGCATGGAATGCCTTTCCATTTTTTCAGGTTTTGTTATGTTTTAGGAAGATGTATTTAAATTATTCAAGTTTAAATCTGATTCTATGATCACCCTATCCAGCTGTCTGCAAAACAAAGATGCGCGTTCTAGTCATCCATCCAGAGTTCACTTTACATTCCGAGTATTTGAACAATTTGGGGGCTATTGTAACCCATTATAAAAAGGGTAGTAGAGAGCATCAGAAACTGCCCCAAATGCTCAGAACCAGACAGCTACACAGAAGGATTCTACCAAACATTCCGGGAAGATTGACACCACTACAACTTGATCTTTTCAAAAACAGCAACAATGAGGAACACTGTGAAGTTCTTCTGTGACGGCAGCATAGCCCCGATGGCTCCAGCAAAGACAGCTCTCAAACAAACCATTGAGCACAGACGCAAACCTTCCCACCGAGTTCTACTCAACAGACACCAGCAACATAAAACACACGCATAAAACATGAACACGTGGGGTTCGTACCAGGACTACAAGGGTGGTTTAACATTAGAAAAGCACTCAATATAATACACCTCATTGAAAAAACAGAAAAATTGATGGGGGGAAAAAAGGGCAGTCGTTAAAATTCAATTCTCCTTCCTTGCTTAAAAAAAAAACTCAGCAAAATAGGAATAGGAGGGAAATTTCTTGGCCTAATTGTGGGCACACAGGCAACAACATTACACTCCGTGAACGGAGTGTGAGGCTGAAAGCCTTACCTTGGACAAGAGAGTACTATAAGTGATGCTCATTATGATGTTCTCTGGCGTCATTCTCATTCAATATTGTACCATACATAAAAACAAACACAAAATGGATCGGAGACCTAAATACCAAACCTAAAACTATAAAACTCCTGGAAGATAACTATGGAACCTAGTCTTCAGTAAAAACTGGATAACAGAAACCATAAATATATGAATAGAAGACAACTCGATACATGGCATTTCATAAAAATTAAAAATGTATTTTCATTAACAGATTTTACTGAATGAGTAAAGAGACAACCTACAGACTGGGGGGAACCTTCAGAAATGACTTATCCCATAAGGACCTAATTTCTAAAATCTTTAGCGCATTGAGACTTGAGTTTTTTTTAAATGGATATGAAATCATAACTAGTTTTGAAATATATAAAAGATATCTCTGCCACACAATTAAAAAAAAACACCCTCAAATTCAATGCCATGAGTCCATGCTGACTCATAGCAACCCTGCAGGATAGGGTAGAACTGTCCCTGTTAGTTTCTGAGACTGTAAATCTTTACGGGAGTAAAAAGCCCATCTTTCTCCCGAGGACCGGCTGGTAGTTTGAACTATACACCTTGGAGTTAGCAGTCCAACACATAACCACTATGCCACCAGAGCTCCTTGGTCTGCCACACAATACAGGTTTAAAATGGCTACGAATCTAATTCAGTGAAAATATTTATCAATTTAGAAATGTGAGCAGTCCTTAGATATTGTTAGTGGTTCGATTTTGAAATGCAAAATTTCCACTATTATTAAATTCTAGTATTACTTATCCATATGCATCAGAATTTCCTGAATACTAATAAAAAAATAAAATTCAGGAATAAACTGCATGTCCACAACGATATTAAGAATGCATGTTATTCACCACTACCAATTTCAAAATCCTTTGGTTTATTAAAATAGGCTCAGCATTCTAACCCACTGATTTTATAATATCAAGGTTTTACAGCAATTAACTATTATCAATGCTAAAAAAGAATATGGATGGCTAGTGAGATGCACACATTCACTGTGGAAATGGCTACCTGTTTAGGAAATTGGACAGGGCATCAATCACTCAGATTACGGTTCAATAAGTATACGCAGGACTTATCCCCACAGAATTCCGCAGAGCATAGTTCACTGCAGTACTTACTGGTGCGACTATTTTTCCTGTCTGTCCAACTTGCATGTCATTGGGAACAAAGCCAGCATCAACAGCAGCACGGGAAGCACCAACTAAGGGGGAAAAATATTGACATTTTCCCTAAGTTCTATTCAATGACAACTGAGGGGGTGGAGACAGGGTCTGGGAATACTGATAGAGTACCATTCACAACTTCTCTGCTAAAAGCCTTAAAAAATTGCTTGTCACTGACCGAGAAGTCTAAATACTAACTACTAATACATTTTATTAACAGAAGAGGTTTAGATTTTAAATTGGGCTTAATTCCTCTGCTTTCTTATCAAAAATATATTATTTTTAATCTAAAATTAAAATCTTATTTTTATTCCTTTTATTTTATTTTAGTGGGGACTCTTACAGCTCTTACCACAATCCATACATATATCCATTGTGTCAAACACATCTGTACATATGTTGTCATCATCTTTTTCATAACTTTTTTTTCTACTTGAGCCCTTGGTTTCAGCTCATTCTTTCTCTCCCTCCCCCATGTTCCCTTGATATTTATAAATCATTCTCTTTTTTTTCCATGTCTTACACTGACCACTGTCTCCTTTCAACCACTTTTCTGTTGTCCATCCCACTGCGAGGGGGGCCATACGTCAATTATTGTGATCGGTTTCCCCCGTCCCCTTACCCTCCTAGTATCGCTGCTCCCCTTATTGGTCCTGAGGGGTTTATCTGTTCTGGAATCCCTGTGTTGTGAGCTCTTATCTGTACCAGTATACATGTTCTGGTCTAGCCAGATTTGTAAGACAGAATTGGGATCATGATAGTGGGGAGGGTGGAACATTAAATAAGTAGAGGAAGGTTGTGTGTTTCATCAGTGCTATACTGCACCCTCAGGGCTATACTGGCTCATTTCTTCTTTGTGGCCCTACTGACAGAGGGTGTCCAATTGACTACTGATGGGCTTTGGGTCTCCACTCTGCACTCCCCCTCATTCACATTGATATGATTTGTTTGTTTGTTTTGTTTTGGGTCTTTCATGCAAGGTACCTGATCCCATCAACACCTCATGATCACCCAGGTTGGTGGGCTTCTTCCATGTGGACTTTGTTGCTTCTGAGCTAGATGGCCGCTTGTTTACCTTCAAGCCTTAAAGACCCCAGACACTAGATCTTTTGATAGCGGGCACCATCAGCTTTCTTCACCACATTTGCTTATGCACCCGCTTTATCTTCAGCGATCGTGTCAGGAAAGGTGAGCATCATGGAATGCCAGTTTACTAGAACAAAGTGTTCTTGCGTTGAGGGAGTACTTGAGTGGAGGCCCAATGTCCATTTGCTGCCATAACACTTTATGAATAAATATTCGTACATAGATCTATTCCCCTATCATTATATATAAATGTATTTACATATGTACATGCCTGTATCTAGACCTCTATAAATGTTCTTTGCATCCCAGTTCTTTCATCTATTTTCAAAAAGGTATTCTTAAAATACACATTATAATCTGTTCAGTATGTCACTATAAAATGTCATTTTATGCAATGACTTTTCAATTTTGAAGATAGGCACTATAGTATCATTACCTTTTATGACCAGATAAAGAAATGAGTTATAACACAAGTTAATGGTTCAACTAATACTCGTTAATCTAAAAATATAAAAAGGAACCCTAACTGATCTCCTAGTCTCATTCAATAAGAGTCAACAAGGAACCCAGTCCTGGAAGGGATCAAGAGTGAGCCTGCTGAGGTAGAAATTGTCAGACAAGAATCCCAGGGAATCTGTGTGCAAAGGAGGGGATGGATGCAGAGCAGCAGCAGGTAGAGCTCGGATTTGGGGTTCGGAAGGTTGTGGTGCATAAGTCAAACAAGAGTTTAGTTTAATTAGTAAGAATGTCTGCGGGAGCACGTGCCCTTCTAAGAACCATCTCTATAGGATCCAATCGCCACGAGCAACTCAGAAGGAGTTGACAGGGAGCTGCCGGTTTACATTCCCGGGAGAGGAACTGTGCAGAAAGCCTCTGGTCACTTTATCCCTCATGTTTTCAAAATCATCTAATCATCTAATCATCAAACCCCCTACATTTACATCTCCACCCAAAACTTCTCCAAAGAAGGTCCTTCCTTCTCCTTCCTAGTCTACGTGCCAAAGTGACAGTTTGGACCCAAACTTGGCTCTCTGTGACGAATGTCAAAATATAATCTGTCTCAAACTAAAGCCCTGCTCTCTCCCGGGAAGCTGCTCCAGCTGAGGCTTCCCCATTTCAGCTAATGGAGACTTCTTTCTACCAGTTGGGAACACAAAACTTTCGCTCACCTCTAATATCCAACCTACCAGGAAACCCTGATGGCTCTATATTCACAAGTATCTCTGGAAACTATCCACTTCTCCTACATCCACTGCTACCCTGGTCCACGATCAGCTCCGTCTGATGAAAACAGCCTCCTCGATGACATCCCTGCCACAACTCCCAACACAGCAGCCGAGTGATCGTTTAAAAATGCGTCAGACCTCGTCACTTACTCTTCTCCTCAAAGCTTCCAATGGTACCCCGCAATGGTCTACGGTTCTTCACCGCGAGTTCTCTCTTAGGACTTGCCCTCTCATGCTCTCCATGCTTCAGCGACAGTAATTGGACAGACCAGGCCTGTGGACTCCTCTCTGCCTGGAACACTCGCTCCCGAGACCTCCTCATGGCCTGCTCCCTTCACCTCCTCCACACCTTTGCCCCAAGGCTCAGTCAGGGACTGCACCGGCCATTTTACCTAAACTTACAATGTTTCCTCTCCAACAAGCCTCCTCATCCTATGCTTCTTTTCCCAGGCACATTACCGTGCGTGCGCGTGTGTGTGAATATCACAAAAGCTGTGATAAAAATCTTGAGAGGAAGCTCATACCCTGGATTTTCCGGGCAGCTCTACCACCATCACAGACAGTCTTGGAGAGAGAAACAGACAGACAGAAGGTGATGTGAACACAGAGGCAGAGATTAGAGGGATGCAGTACAAGCCCAGGAATGCAAGCCAGCGTGTCACCGGGAGCGGGAAGCATCAAGGAACGGAGTCTCCCTCAGAGCCTTCACAACTGTGAGCAAGTCCACGTAACTGTTCTAAGCTACCATTTGTATGGGACTTTGCTGGGCACCCCGGAAACTAATACAGTGACTGTCCCACACTTTAGAAATATAAATCCCACAGGGCTGTCACTGCTGTCTGTCTGTTCACCTCTATTTCCCTACCACCTAACCTAGTGCCTCCACGCGTACATGCTCAGAGACCCTTGTTGAAGGACTGAATGATGTGCACCCTAAGTCATTACTGCTTGACACACATATCCTGTATCCTAGGAAGTGAGATACAAAACTCATAAAAGAGGGAAAAGAGACAGAATTAGAATTGGGGTCAGGGGTAACTTTAGCCTTGCCAATACAGTTTTAGTTTAGTAAAAGGAAATATATATATAAAATATTTTCTATATATATATATATATAATATCTGATTAAAAATTAATCTAAAATATTTGGGTTTTTTTTCCTTATTTTTAAAAAACCTTTCCATTCTTATCAATGAACTTTCAATAACAGGTTATATCTCTCCTATAAATGGCTAACTAAAAATTTTAAAATAGTTTTAAATGCCTATTCATTTACATAGGCGATTCATATTAGACCACGATACAGAGAAAAATAAGTCATTTTAAATCTAAAGTGGGCACTAGATCTGGCACTTACATTTTTAAAATGAACTAAAACTACTAAAATTTGCCCAATAGAAGAGTGTCCCACAAATACTAAAGCAAATGAAGATAGCCTCTCCTTGCTTGGATAAACTCTACACCGTTTACTTGAAAGCCTCTTTTCAAAGAGAAAAGCAGAAAAATACAGAAAATTACATCATCTGTAGGAATGATCGACTTGTATATAAATAAAATAAGGAAGGAAAAAAAACATTTCCGGCAAAAAGGGAACATTCTTTTACTAAAGGGGATAATGTTACCTGCAGCATGCAGTTGATCGGCCAAGTCATACAGCAACTTAAAGTTCTCTCCATTTTTCATGCCCCGACCTCACAAAAGAGATGAAAAAAGAACATTAAACACATAGAAGCATCAGTTGATATTATTTTGTTATTTGCATACTTTAGTAAATTTTCATCTTACATAGCTGCCATATAAGTATACCGTTTCCACTATAAAATCTTTCCTGGTATCTCCTATGCTTGTTCTTACTTCCGAATTTCCCCTACAAAATATTAACACTCCTGTAATTAATTGTATAATTAATCCTTAATCACACTCTTCCCTAATGATGATTCTTGAACTATAAATTCTGCATCTATCTTGGTCACACTTTATCTATAGTACTTAACAAAATTCCTTGTAGAAAGTAAACCAAAAACTTACTGCCATCATTACTCACAGTAACCCTCTACATACAGAGTTCCTGAGACGCCATCTTTAAGGGAGTAGAGCCTCACCCTTCTCCCCTTCAGTGCCTGGTGAGTTAAAATCTCCTATCTGGTGGGTAGCAGTCCGATCCCTAAGCCACAGTCCCACCGGTAGATGTTCAACAAATATTAGCTCAAGGACTGAACGAAGCTATCATTTGAGCGGAAGACACCCTACAAGCTTTAAAGTTGTTAGAGCAAGAATACCCTGCCTTTTCATCTGTTTCTCCGGCAGTTTCCACATGGCCGGGACAAAACAGATACCCAATAAATCTTTCTCACATGGTTAAATAAATTATTCAGTTATATCTTTTTAAAATATTGAATAGTTTTCAATGCCCTTACAATATAAGACTGTTTGGAAACTTAATTGTTTTCTGCCTGATGTGCATACGTTTAATTTAGGGGGGGCTTTAGAATTATTCCAATAAATGATCCTTTAAAACTTTTAAAATATGGCGCATGATACAAATCAAACAGAAAAACAACAGAATCAAAAAAACCAGAAGATGGTTCTTCTAAAAGGTCAATAATAATGATAAATGTTTAGCTAGATCAACACAGAGAAAAGTTGCAAATAACCCAAATCACAGATGAGAAGCGGGACATTACAAGTGACTGAACCAAACAGAGAGAATGGCAATAGCACACTACGAGTAACTGTCTAGCAGCGGACTGGGTCACCTCCGGGAAGGGCACATACCCAGACTACTGAAGAGAAAGTACAGTCTCAACCAAGCGGAATCCAATCAGTGGGCAAAACGCTCAACACCTTTTGTTTTAACTGAGACAACAGGGACTAAGCCTCCCGTGAATTCCCTGGACCACACCGAGATGCGGATGGCATTTCTATCATGCAGAGCGCACTGAAAGTGGATGGCTGCACTGCATTACAGTGTAACGCCTTATCGTCTGAACTCCTCTGGACCCATTTTAAATTTGTTCTACTTTTTAATATTGTCTGCTTTCTTTTTGATTGGGATTTTTAATCTGTTTCACTTTGATATTGTTAGTTTGTTTTTTGTTTTTTCGGGGGGGGTGGTATGTTTTGTTTTGTTTTGTTTTTTACATATATGAAATCCAATGTGGGTAAATCTATAGACAGTAACTGGATGAATGATTTCTTGGTGGTCTGGCAAGGGAGGTTGGGAAGAAATGGGGAGCTAATCAGAATGACTACAAAAAAGAAGAAAATGTTCTAAAATTGATTATGGTGATGATTGTACAACTCTTTAATATGACTGAACTATTGAATTGTATGATATGTAAATGATATGCCAATAAAACTTAAAAAATTAAAAATGACAAGCAAATGACACCTCAAAAATGGAAAAGTTTTGCTTTTCAAAAAGTTCTACTGACATGGGGGGGCAATTTTTACAAGTTATCAAGGGTTCATGAGGGAGGGAGGGGGGAAATAAGGAGCTGATATCAAGGGTTCAAGTAGAAAGAAAATGTTTTGATAATGAGGATGGCAACATATGTACAAATGTGCTTGACACAATGGATGTATGTATGGATTATGATAAGAGCTGTCTAAGAGCCTTCAATAAAATGATTTTTTTTTAAAGAAGAAAAAAAACCCTTCTACTGACTGAGAGAGTATCTTTGGAAGTCATATATCCAAAAAGAATTTAATCACCAAAAATATATAAGATTTAGATCATTTAGCAACAAAAACACAAACAACAGCATCATCAAATGGGTAAAAGACTTGAATAGACATTTCACTAAGGAAGACAGGCAAATAGCCAACAGACATATGATAAGCTGCTAAGTATCATTAGCCATCAGTATGACAGTTCCTAAAAATAGAGCTACCAGGTGACCTAGCAATGCTACTCCGAGGTATGTGTTCAAAGAACTTTAAAGACCCAAAAAGAGAGTTAACCGCTGAAGTTCATTAAGTGCAACTTATATGTTCATAAACAGATGAATAGATAAGCAAATGCGGTACCCATGTAAGGAATGCTACTCAGCAAGAAAAATGACGTCTTTCTATAAATACTACAATGTGACTGGAACTCGGAGACATTTTACCAAGTGAAGCAAATCAATCACAAAAGGTTAAATATTTTCATGACCTCACTTACAGAAAGGACAAGAAAATGTAAATGTACAAAGAAAACAATTCATGTATGGTAACCAAGGGCAGGAACGATGGAGAGGAAGGAATTCACAGAAATGGAAACATCACACCAACTATGGGTCGGGGTACACAATCTTCATTAAGTGATACACCTGTAAAAATTTAAATCGTCAAAAGTTATGTGATAGATATATTTACAATGTCATAATGCGCAGTGCTTCTGTTCTGCCTCTTAGTTCACTGCAGAGTGCTTGGTCTTAAAAGCGTACGTGCGGCCACCCACAGCACAGAGAATTGTCTCTCTGCACTTGGAGCAACAGAGGAAAAGGAAAACTCAAGACTCAGAGGAGGACATGAAATATCTGGCTAATTGTCTCCATGGACAAGCGCCTCCTTTGCCAGGAAACAGAATTGGATGGTGCCTGGCTATCATTCCTGAAATTTTCACTCAACGATTCCAGAAAAGATCCCTAATCAAAATGGGGAAAACATAAAACAATGTCAAATTCTCATGTATTCCGGGCTGATGGAGGCACGGATCGTGGAGGAGTCCCTGATATTACTGCTCTGACATAATTTTTAAATTTTAACCCAAAGCATCCCTGACTTCATCTTAAAACTGAATAATAGATTAGTTTAACTAGTAGAAGAAAACTGGCTCGAGCATTATGCTTTCTTAAGAGCGAGCTGTCTGCATGGGAGCAAACTGCCAACAGCAACTCACAAGATTACACAGGCACCTTAGAACGCACTGAGTTTGTGATCATGGGGGAGAACAATTCAGAAAAGGAGGTGGGAGTTGTAGCACAACTGGATGCATATGTGTCACAGGATCGGGCATCAGTAATGGTGAAATTGCTGTGCATGTTCTCAATAAGAAGATAACTGAAAAAGCAAATGTACATCATTCGTTCAGATGTTAAATATAAGTAGCTTTCACAGACATTTAGAGACCAAGGCAACCCTGGAAGCCTTTCAAACTAGTATGAACAAGGAGAATCACACAGCACAGCCCTGAAATGCCAACTAGTGTTTCCTCCTGTGATTCAGAAACCAGCCACAGTCTGCAGATACTCCATAAAACAAAGGGATGCAAAGTGAGGAAGATAAGATTTGTACCATGCTCCCCCTGGTGCCAGCAACAGGGATTTGCAACAGAAAAGTCCAAAATGGGTATTATGCTCATAATTTCAACTTCACTTTCCTAATGGTAAGATTGAAAAAAATACTTAATCATGTACTTACTTCTTATTCTTGGAGGGGAAAAAATTCTGTGCTCCTCTAAAATAAATATGAATAAAATCAAAGTTTACACCATCTATAAAAATGTATGCCTTACAAGCATTTACTTACCACCAGATACCACCACTTTGGCCCCAGTTAGCTCAGGTCGGTCACTTTTTGTCAGTTTCTGGTCAAGCCATTCTGATATCCCCACCGGTGAAGTGCCTGACACTACACACATTGATACAAAACAAAAGCAAGGCCTGTGATTTAAAGTTCGATTCTTCTGCTACACTAAATCTAGCAAATATTGTGGAAATACTGAGACCAGAGTTTATAAAACAAAACTTTAATATCAATATGAGATTAGCCTTAATGGATCCTCTATTCCTTACCTCCTTGATTTACTAAAAGCAACTATGATAATACCAAAAATTATGTAGAAAAGACATAAATTATAAACATAACCCACTATACATACTTGTGAATATCCTTTCGATTGGGTTTGTAAATACTTAGGAATTAGAAATTTAACCACAACTTTCCTCTAGTTCTTTAATGCTTCCTCCCCTCCACTATCATGAACCCAATTCTACCTTACAGATCTGGCTTCACCAGAGCATGTACACTGGTACAGGAAAGAGCCCGGAACACAAGGAATCCAGAACAGATAACCCCCTCAGGGCCAATAATGAGAGTAGCAATACCAGGAGGGTAAGGGGAAAGTGGAGGGCGAAAAGGGGAACCAATCACAAAAATCTACAGATAACCCTCTCCCAGGACGACGGACAACATAAAAATGGGTGAAGGGAAACAGTGGTCAGTGTAAGACATGAAAAAAAGATTATAAATGATGAAGGGTTCATGAGGAAGGGAGGCCGGGGAGGGGAGAAAATGAGCTGATACCAAGGGCTCAAGTAGAAAGAAAATGTTTCGAAATTGATGATGGCAGCATATGTACAAATGTGCTTGACACGATGGATGGATGGATGGATGGATGGATGGATGGATGGATGGATGGATGGTTATAAGAGCTGTACGAGTCCCCATTAAAATGATTTTTTAAAAAGAAATTTAACCAGACGACATCTCTAACCTAATATAATCTGATTTTAAAAGAGAATGTTAATACTAGGCAGAAATGGGAATTGGTGGGGCGGGCAAGTGGACCAACCCCCTGATGACAGTGCGCACCGGTGCTCAACAACTCTGATGGTGGCCTCTGAAGCCCTGACGCAGGTGGACTGCATCTCTGAGAGCGCTGTTATATCGTCACTGTGCTACTAACTGCCCACCCTGCAAAACAGCCAGACCGCAACAGGAAAGTCCCCAAACTGCCCTACCCCGGGCCAGTACTATATAAAACCCTTCCTCTCCCTCCCAGGCAGCGCAGCTTCTCTGGCCCCAACTAGGGACCCATGCACCTCGCCCAGGAGCTCTGAGAGAAACCTTTAAAACTATTTTCCGCCTTTGCCTTCTTTCTTTCTATCCGTCGTCACCCTACCTTACAGTTAACACACTCACCTTTTTCTGAACTGGCACTGCCTCCGCTGGTTGCTGCGGCTTCAAAAGATGTTCCTCGAACGGAAAACACCTTTACCTTCTCATCACACTTGACTGTACATAAAGCATTTCCTACAATGTACAAAATAATTTTTTTAAAAATCCTTCAGAAGGCAACAAAACAAGTACGTATTTCTTTGAGGCTCCAAATTTACTTAACAAAGATGAGGTAAGAAAATACTGTACAGACTTGTGTATAAGCCGAGTTTTTCAGCACATTTTTAATGCAGTTTTTGTGGTAAAATTAGGTGCCTCGGCTGATATTCGGGTCGGTCTATACTGGAGTATATATGGTAGCTGCGAATGAGTTGTTTTCTAAAGGAGCCTGGTGGCACTGTTAAGTTAGGCATTGTTTTGCTATCTGCAAGGTCGATGGGTCAAGTCCACCAGCTACTCTGAGAAAAAGATGAGGCTTCTGTTATCATAAAGATTATAGTCTTGAAAACCCGACATAGGGTCACGATAAGTCAGAATTTACTTAATGGCTCTGGATTTGGTTTGGTTGTTTTCAACTTCTAGTAAGTAGGAAAAAGAGGTTCATTCACAGTAAAGAAACACATCAGTGGATTTTGTCTAACCCTGGAAAAGTCTTTAAAAATATGACAAGTGCTGACCTTCTGGAAGTAAAACATTAGTACGAGTAGACAAGGTGACCCCCTCCCACTCCCAAAGTGTTGCCATCAAGTTAATTACAAGTCACAGCAACCTGAAGGGCAGAGTAGAGCCTCCCCATGGGCTTCCAACACTGTCAACCATCCTGGAAGTCCAATGCCACAGCGTTCTCCCAGAGAGCAGCCGTTCAGTTCACAATGCCAACCTGAGAGTTAGCAACAGACCTCCTTAACCAATGGGCCACCAGGCCCACTACCAGTGAAGAAACATATCCGTAACTGTTTAATCCTGGAGGTCTCTAAAAATAAAACAGGTGCTGGACTTTCTACAAGGAGAAAGACTGGACCAGGTGGACACATTAGTAAGGTACACATTTCAGAAAAAGGAACATAAACAAAGCATCCTTATTTTAAAAAAAAAAGCCACAATCAGTAACTCAACAATATGAACTACAAGTTAATGAGAATAAAGCTATGAAACAGCCTATGTGAGGAAAAACTGTGATAACATGATAGGTCATAAAGGACAGGAAGTGTACATGTGCCAAGATTTTAAAAGGATTTGAGGCATTTCTTATGGATTAGCAATCACATTAAGAATGACCTAAACTGTGACCAAATATTTCTCCTCAAACATTACTGAAGATAAAAGGTTTGATTTGGGAATTAACCATTTATATTGAAATATACAACTTTAATCAGAACGAACAAAGAGTTTGCTGTCTCCTCCAGCCCCACTGGAGACCAGTCTGCTTAGCAAGAGATCAATCAACGCAAGAGACACTGATGAATTTCTTGATGCAAAGGCAGTGAGGAAAGGAAGAATGAGAGTAATTTTATTTTAAGCGCTGCTTTTCCAGGCAAATCTTTTATTGACAGTGGGAGAAAACTGAATGACCAGGCAGTTAAGGGCAGTTAAGAACTGTTTTCTGCATCTATCTATCAGAAAGACTGCCATGCCACTGTTCAGCAGCAGTTACAAGATTTTACCCAGAAACCTTTAAGACAGCCCATTTCAAGTAACTGGGTGACTCGTTTTTAAATCCGATCTTTAAGTTCTACTTTTTAAATGGACTGATGCAACATGTTGCTGAATTATTTTCCTTGGGGACTCACCTGCATAAATGGTTCTCACAAATGTGTCAGGTGACTTGATCGCAATGATGTCAGAAATTGGGGCAACATCCAGTTTGGCTGCTACTCTGGGCAAAAGGTTCTAAGAGCAAAAGGAGCAATCAGTTATACACATGCATGCTGATAGACGTTTATAAATTATCAGCAATGTCATTCTCTAAGTGCATAAGTCTATTTAAATATTCATTACTCGTATTCATCCTTAGAAACACAACAACTTCAAGCACGGCTTTCTTAAGAGCCTCTGAGATGCCGTGGGAGGTGATCACTATGTAACTCCATCGGGCGTCTGATGAGATCTACATGAAGCTCACGGCCAAGAAACCCCGTGGGCACGTCGTCTTTCCGTCGCATGCGGTCACCATGAGCCGAGAGTGGCTCAGTGGCACCGAATAACAACACGTCAACCTCCCTGTGTGCAGTACGCTGAATTAGGACATAGATTGTCTGCATAACGAATGCCACTTTAAAGAGTGTGACAATTATGGATGACTAATTTAAATATGACAGAAAAATATTTAGAGGACTAGCATTTGCTATATTTTCTAATACTGCAAGAGAAAAAGATACCTCTTGTGTCTATTTAATTAGGCAGTCTTGGTGGCATATGTTAACCAAAAGGTTAGCCATTCACCCCCACCCCCAACCATTCTGCGAGAGAAAGATGGGCAGTCTGCGTCTGTAAAGTTAACAGCCCAGGGAAGTCTCAGGGGGCAGTTCCACCTGGTCCTCTCGGGTCACAATGAGTTGGAATCCATGGGATGGCCTCAAGTCTGCGGCGATGTCTACTTAGGACAGCTCTGTGATAGCTGTGTTCACCATGGGAGCGAATCCCTACTCTCCCAGACGAAGAGTCCAGGACTCTCCGCCTCCAAGGCCAAGGATCACCTAGTGAGGAGACACATCTATATTTCTCTTCACGTGATGATGTCATCCATCTCAGCATATAGAATCACAAAAAGCAGTGTTGCTTTTATCACACACACAAAGCTCGATTCCTACTGCTTTGTTCAGCGTTTATGCCAACTCTTTTCAGGAACGTGGCACCTAACACTACCTTGTGTAGGCACACTTTTCAATTTCCTCCCAGCTCTCTCTCTCTGAGAATTACCCAACTTATCCTCTAATTGTCCTTTAGGCTGCATCCTTCTCCATATCTGTGCAATTACACTATATGAATTGCTACTAAAGATGTTATGTTGTTTAACAAGAAATTGTAATACATATATGGCCTCCATAATTTTACATATAGAAAAATAGAATTCAGGAAAATAAATGTCTAGCCCAACATCATATATATCTATGGAAACATCTTGTCTAACAGTTAAACCTCATATAAAAACTGAGTAATTTCTGATAGCTTGTAATTTGACAATTGTATAAAAGATGAAGTGACCATTAAACTTGTGTGCTTATACTGTAGGGTGAAAACTTGTATGGCCTAGAAAGTCATCTTACTTTAAGAGCATTTAACTATATCAAAATTTTAACTACACAGTCTTTGCTCAGTTATTGCATTTTCAGAAATTTATTGCAACTACGTACTGGCATTTACATAAAGCTGTATACAGCAATGTTTATAAACGAAAAAAAAAATGAAACAACCTAATTATCCAGCCTCATGTGCATGTGAATAAGGAAGAATAATTGATGCATTTGAACGATGGTGCTGGCAAAAAATATTGACAGTACCATGGACTGCCAAAAGAACAAACAAATCTGTCTTAAAAGAAGTACAGCCAGAATGCTCTTTACTTAAGATGGTAAAACTTCATCTTAAGTACTTTGGGCACGCTATCAGAAGAGACCAGTCACTGCAAAAGGCTACCAAGCCTAGTAACGTGGAGAGGCAGTGAAAAGGAGGACTGTGGACAAGACATAGCGTTACTGTGGCTGCAACAATGGGCTCAGACATAACTGTGGGGATGGGGCCGGAGCAGACACTCTGTATACATAAGGTCGCTATGAGTTGGAGCCGGCCTAGATGGCACTGAACAACAAGCATCCATCCTTGGTTAAATGTCATACCACACAGCTGCGAAGAATGCCCTAGTGGCGCAGTGAGTCGCGTGTTGGGCTGCTAGCCCCAAGGTCAATCCACCCATCCTTCCAGGGGAGAAAGATGAGGCTTTCTGCTTCCATAAAGATTTACAGTCTCCAAAACCCACAGGACCGTCCTACTGTGTCCTATGCGTCAGAATCAACTCATTGGCAGTGAATTGGGTTTCTGATATTAAAAAAATGAAACAGGCACATTTTAAGCTAGTATTCTTATGACAAGGGCACAATCATTAATCACAAAGCAATTCAGACAACAGTATCTCAATTTGGAAGTAAAAAAATACATTTGTACATATATTATCACCTTAAAATCCACAGAAACTCCAAAACCAGAGAGTGCCACCTAGTCAATTCTGACTCAGAGCAACCCTTTAGGACAGAGTGACACTGCCCTGTGATCGTCCGAGACGGCCACGTGCCACAGCAGCAGAGAGTGTCGTCTGCTGGTTTCAAACTGCGGACCTTGAGGAGGAGCCCGTGCAAAAGCCACGAGGTCACATGGCTCCTTTTAAGTCCAAAGAAAGAGTTCTGAAAGAATGTACAACGATGCTGCTGAAGAGGGACGTGGAATCGACAGGGGGGACTCTGATACCTTACTTACTCGGTATGCATCTATACTGCATGCATCCTTTATAACAAAGTACTTGTATATAACTTTATCATTTTAAAGAGTAAAAGCTTGGAAATAATAATCTATAAGTTATCAAGGGTTCCTGAAGGAGGAGGGATGCGGGGGAGGGAGAAGAAATGGGGAGCTGCTATCAGGAGCACGTGGGAAGAGAATGCTTTGAACATGATGATGGCGGCATATGTGCAAATGTGCTTGACACACTGGATGAATGTATGGATTGTGATGAGATGTAAGAGCCCCCCATAAAAGTTTTTTTTTTTAAGTAAAAGCTAAGGACTGCAACTTATTACAAGAAGAATTTTTTAAAGGGAGCTAGGATCATAGCCCTGGTTACAGAAGGGCCAAGAAAGACCCGCTGGCAGATGCCTTTTCTCGGAGCCCCGGCTCCACTTTGCACAACTTCAGGCAGACCCATCTGCTCACACATTCTTTCTTCAGACTCATCCTGACCCAGAGGATCGGATTTCTCTCCCCTGGGGAGATCTTCAGCCACCATTGGCCCTTCCCAAATCCCCCAAGTAGATAAAGATTTAGCTTTTCTACAAATTCATCAGTCACACAAATCAGCCAGCTTTTAAGAAGGGTTACTTAAATCTCTCTCACACACACACATTATTCAACCGTGTTTTAAACAAAGATGATTTTAAAACAGAATTTTCTCTACAACAAAATGCGGAAACAGGAAGCAGAATTTTAACACGTTGTGACAAAATCTCCGAAGAGTCAATTTCAGCAAAGCTGTCGCAGTAAGAAGCAAGGAGACTCAGGACTGTCTCTCTAAGTACAATCTGCGGCACATGTTAGGCACCGTGAAATCTAGCCTCTCAGAGTAGTGGCATCGGATGCCACACACTCAAGAGTCTCACCTTTCCAAAGGCAGATGCTCCGGCACAGATGTGCGTGTAACTGAACTGCTTCTGAGATGCCAAAATCAATGGCGTCAGCTCCTCTGAGGATTAAACACATTTGATAAACTTATTTCATAATGTCCCCAGATTCTTAGGTTCAAACAGAAATCACATTCTTCCCCCTGGAAGACAGTCTCACCTGGAAGGAGGCCTTTATAGGCATCATGCTGGGCCACCAGTACTTTTGCTACACCTGCTACTTTGCAAAGATCCTGTGCCACCTGTGATTAAAACAAGTCTTAATTATCCATTTAACAGAAATATTCAGTCAACTGTGACAAAAATGATGGGCAACTTTTT